CCAATTTCAAAACTAATTTCATATAATAGAATTTTTTCCAACAAAATCCTGTTTTAAGGAATCTCACTAAATTTGACATAATATTATTTCTTGGCTTCTTTAACATCTACTGTCAGATGTCTTGTTATAGATAGTTGTAGATTCTACATTTCAACAGCATTAGAACTCTCCAAAAGGCGTAGTCTTTTAGGACTATTACAGTATAGAGCAGTACTGTCCAGTAGAGCTTTCTATGAATGGAAATGTTCTATAACTCTGATGTCCAATGTGGTAGCCAATAGCCACATCTTATAATAACTATTTGAAATGTGGCTTGTATGACTGAGGAATTGAATTTTAATTTGAGTTATTTTAATTGTTTTGAATTAATTAAACAGCCACATGTGGCGGATTATTTCTGTATTGAACAGCACAGATTTAGTGTAATCTAGAGAAACTTCCCTTTTATCTAGCCAAAAACATTGGTCACTAACTGTACTAAGCAGCTAATCAGTACTGGACAGTCTCTGCTCTTGGGTAAGAGGTCACAAAACTCCTCAGCACCATTAGTGGTGATTTATTTCTCTCCTCCTGTCACTACTGAATTACTGGGGTACCTTCTGTGTCTTGTGTCCTGACTCTCATTTTTAGCAGAGCTTATATTTGACTCTATTTATCTAACCTATAGATGCTTGGATACCTGCCTTTATGTGCTTCATGCTCCTAACTGTGTTCTTGGGCATGTCTGCTTGATCACTTTGGGCAGGGGTGGGGAACATCTGGTCCAAGGGCCCTATAAGGCCCTTGAAATCATTTGGTCTGGCCCTGCCAAGGCACTACAGGTGAAATAAATAAATGCTTGACCAAATACAGAAGGCTAATTTTTAAGTTCGTAATTGTGTATGGCCTGTGAAGGATGTTATAAATATCCAAATGGCCCTTGGCAGAAACAAGATTCCTCAGCCCTGACTTGGGGTAACTTAGTTCCTTCAATAACCATTATCTCCCTGCTCCTGTCCTGCCACTGTTGATTGATGACACTCTATTTTCCCCAAAGAGATGCAATATTCACATCCCCATTCATGGGTGAGACAGATCTAAAGGTTCTGTGTAACCCATGGTTTCCAATACACTCCTAGGTCTCATTTCTCTTAGCTTTCCTCATAAGAAATGAAACTTTAAAAATTGTAAATGGTTTAAAATAATTGTGTGACTTAACCCTCAAAATAATAGTGTCCTCTGTTCACCCCCAAATTCAAAACACACATCAATCCATGAGTATCAGCTATTTAATTTGCCTGATGAACAAAAGAAAACAAAGCTGATTTCTAAAATATTTTCAGGGATACCAGAAAATTGTAGTATAAAATGACAAACTTTCAATCAAATAATTATAGATGTCAGTGTGAGATATGGATTATAGCCCTAGTAGCAAGGGGTCATTGTAAGAGAAAGATGACAATCTTCCCATAACTATTTCTCATAGCTTTAAGTTAATAATTAACCATAGTATAATTTATTATTAAAATTCTATTCATGGCTCATAAGTTTTTGCAAGAAACACAGAAATAATATATGCCACTATGCTAGAAATGTAAGGCTCCCAATAATGTAGCCAGCATTCAGTGCTTCTGAAGTTTATATTCTACAATTACTCTTACAACATTTCCAGGACTCTGTTAACTATCTAATATCCACAGATGACTCAGGGTTACATTGCAGATTAGGTTATCTTAGAAAGCCAGAATAATATAAAAGAATCATTGATAGTGAATTAGAAAATCCAAAGTACACTAAAGGATAAGTAAGATCCTCAAGCCTGAAAATTTTAAATTAATAGAAAAAAATTTTAAGTACATTTTTATTGATGTCAGAGCGGTAGGGAGAGGAAGAGATAGAAACATCAATGATGAGAGGGAATCATTGATTGGCTGCCTCCTGTACACCCCCTACTGGCGATCAAGCCCACAACCTGGGCATGTGCCCTGACCAGGAATCAAACCCTGGTTCATAGGTCTATGCTCAACCACTGAGCCATGCCAGCCAGGCGAAAAGGAAAATTTTACAGCAAAGGAATTTGAAAAGAAAAACTATAGGTTAAAAAGTAAAAAAGATCACACAAATCTCAAATAAAAGTAAATTTCACAGTTAAGTGTATGGCATATTGTCATACAGAGAATGTTAATCACTTTTTGTTCTTTGTTTGCTTTTCTGTTTGTTTAGCTCAAAGAGTAGGACTTGGGAAACACATGAGGAAATGTGTCCCAATAAAGACCAGAACAGATGTTAGCATGTCTTGGTGGAAAGAGCATGAACTTCAGCACCATATAGTCCTCAATTCAAATCCTGGATTGGCCATTATTATTTTGGTACCTTAAGGAACTTATTTTTATTCCTGAGCCTCTGTTTCCTCCTTTGCAAAAGGAGAATAATGATGTCCACTTCATGGCATTTGGTTTGAGGATTAAGTGAGATAAAATATACAAAAGCACTGTGACACACAGTATTTGCCCAATAAATGTTAGTTCTTGCTTTTGTCAGCACCCTCCTCTCCAGCTTCTCTGTAGGTCTTTACAAACTGGAATTTCTCATGTCTGAGTGTTAAAAAATATGAAATTTGATAAAAACCTGCATAGCCTAACACAATGATGGGCAAATAATAAGCACTCAAAAACAATTTGTGAATTGATTGAGATTCTACAAATACATTCTTTCTTGAAAGCAGAGGGATGGATGAAGTGAATTCTAAAGATCCCTTCCTGGTTCTGAGATTAATGTTCTAGTAAGAAAGCTTTTCCAGTGTCAACCACAATAAGAATCAGTTCATCATAAAGGGGGATAAAGAAAATGTTTTTCCGGTCCTACCTCTAGTGTTTCTTTATGAAATACAATATAGAGAATTTTCTCAGAACCCCTCCTGGAGTCTTAAGCAAATTCTTCTTTCTAGACTGAAAAAAAATTCCATTTCCTCCAATATTTAAAGTCATCTCATTCATCAGCTCTTACTCATCTGTTACTTGATCATTAATTCTGATTCCACCTAAAATGAACCCTAACACATGACAGCCATGGCTGAGAAATACAGTCAATTGTGAAGGTTAGAGAAGAGCCATCATGCTTTGAGACAAATGCCTATTGGCCAGAAAAATAAAAGAGCTCCTTTCAGTAACCAGTTAACAAGAAATTCAGGACTCTCTATGGATGTGAAGGCCTGTGTTTAAGCAAAACCACAGAATAGCCATGCCCATTTCATTTTCTTTACCTTTCTTAATAAACTTCTATTTATGCTTCCTTGATGTTACCAACTTAAACTTTGGGTCTCGGTAGGTTTTCCCACATTTCAGCATGGAAAAACTTCTAGCCATATATATTTATGTAAAGCTCTCTTTGTCTACTTTACTGTCTCTTGAAATCTTGCAACCCGAGCAGAACAACTGCAGTGGAGGTGGTTAACTAACTTGAGTAAAAATGCATTCTTGAGTCCATATAAAACTAAAGTTTCTTCACAAATAGCTGTATAAGTTGAAAATTGCCATACATAAATTTCAAAGTAGTAAAAATCTGTTTATTACATATATACATATATATATACACACTTTGAAATTTAAAAATAAGTTTAAATCTTCACTTAAAAGGGATGATTATAAGCCAATTTTAGAAATGTCTTACATTTGTAAAGATCTGTAGATTCTTCTACAATCACTCCTCTATAAATAACCACACGTTTCTAACAAATCTTAAAATCAGACTGCTCTTAATAGAACACTGACATTTTTCTCCAATAATCTCTATTTCTGAGTCTATTTAAAAAGTTGGTCAAAGACAGGAGCCTGTGCACATGTATGGTTTTGATTCCATCTATACTCCTGCCTTAATTCTTGTGGCTTGGACCCATTCCAGATGCTCTGACTTATTCTGTGGTTTATATTCGTGATCCCCTTTCCTGATTCATTGCATTCTCCTGATTGACAAACAGATTTAGACAGCAAAGCCAACAGTTACCTGCTTGTAACAGCTGCACTGTTGTAGCACTTCTAAGCCATGGTGAAGGTACCTCCCAGAGAGACTTCTTTTTCAGCTCAGGTGTGTGTGTGTGTGTGTGTGTGTGTGTTGGTAACCAGGGTGAGGTGGGTGGGTATATGTTTGATTTGCTTTGCTTTTGTTTTTTGATTGTTTGATTTTTTACCATTTGGAAGTCTTTATTGTTCACCAAGATATTCAGTAACTTTGTTCTACTCATGATTTATACATTTTATAAACTAAAATTTATATTCTTATTTTTTACTCTCCACAAATTAAATTAAATAGTAACGTAATGGATTTTTAACTTTCTAAGCTGATATGCCTTTTAACTGAATTGAGAATAGTCATAAAAAAGAGGGTCACTTCTTGAAATTTTACTGATTTAATGTGAAGCATATTACTGCTTCATTGGTAGATTAAATGTTAGAATAGAAGTAATAAACTATTATTATATTTTCACTAATTTGCCTCATGTCAATTGAAGTATGTGAACTGTATCAACCTCGTTACAATACAAGCTACCATCTTACATATTGCAAACAATTGCAACTCTCTCAACACATCAGAATAAGAGACTTTTCATTTTAAAATTCCTGTGGAAATCAAGTGTATTTTAAGTATCAGCTCTGATTATTTAATCAGACAACTTGCATTTTGCCCTGGCTAATTTTGAAGACTGATAATATTTTACTCATAAAAATAATTGCGCACCTGTTGTGATGGAAGCCTAGTTAAACAAATGTTAATAGGAATGTAACTCTTTGCGATAAGCATAAGAACACAAGTCTCTCATTACTATTACACGAAGAAACATATTTTTAAAGCCATGGAATAGATCTCGTTTTAAATCTCATCTCTTCCATGGCCCTAGAGAAGTATTTAAGAGTATTATTAAAACATGCATAACAAATAGCTGCATATTAACTTGAAAGGGAACACCAGATGATGTCTACCAAATAAAACAGAATGGAGTTCCTCCTTCCATTTAATGCCGGTTTCTTCTGCCTTATTCTTTTTCCTGACCAAACCATTTTAATGATATTGAATCATTTCTGTGAAACGTGTACTTTTCTTACCAGCTTATGATCAAAGGAGAAAATAAAACATGGGCCACAAAGCTGTACCCTCTTGCACTCTTCTTATTTTCTGACCCTTTCAGCATTCAAGATCTTTCCCAGTACCCAGATGCCCTGAGCTGTAAAAGTGCGAGGCACTCATGGAGGAGACAGACCCAGACCTTTCCTTTGTGGTTTTTACCATTCTCTACAGACTTTTTAAGAGCTACCAACTTGTGTCTATTCAATCCGTTTCCAGGTGTAATCAACTCTTAAGTACTGAAAAGAGGCTTGAGGAAAAGTAATCTGTCTGAAGTTAAACTAGCTAAATTCTGAGCCCAGTTATACACGTCTCATTGACTTCGATAAGACTGTAGCCAGGCAATTGGCCCAGCCTCTTCAAGATTATATTTAAAAGGCAATTTTATTCAAAATTATCTAAACTTTTG